TGCACGGCGCGCTCGCACGGCACGCGGGCTCACCCGGGGCCGCGCAGCATCCTGCCACCACTCGGATCCAGTCTCCGCCGCAAGCCAGGCGGGGCCATCTGGAAGTTTCTCATGAGCACCCAGTCCAGGCCCAGGATATGGATGGCTTTCAGGAACTTGGCGACCTTCCGCAGCGTGCCGAGGTTCTCTGCCGGGAGCCCTTCCCCTGTGAGCAAGCACGGGGCGACCGCGACTTGGCCGCCCGTGGTGGCGGCGCGCGCCTGTCCTGCAGCTGTCCTGCCGGGCCCCAGCACGGGCCGAACCGAGCCCAGTCGCGCCGTCGTCGGCGCGTTGTCAGGCGCCAGGACGGCCGCTCCAACTTGGTTGCCTGTGCCCGTTCCGGAGATCAGCGCCGCGCTCCAGGTTCCTCGCCCGCCGAGGTCGAGCGCCGCGGCCTCGGCCCCTCCGCGCCTGTCCTCCGCCGCGCAGTGCTCATGGGCGGCGACGATCTGCTGGGGGCTGCATTGGGTGAGTTATTCCATCAGCGGCCTCCTCGAGCTGGCCTCGGCGGTAGTGGCGATGTCATCGCGGAGCTGGCGATCTCAGAGTTTACCGCCTGGACCAGCAGCCGCTCGGGCAGGGGGCTGCGTGCGTGTCTTCTTCGGGCGCGTGTCATCCATGGCGTCTAGGCGCATCTTGGCGGCTTTCTCGACGGCGCCGTCGTCTTCGGCGCCGTCGGTCCATGCGCCGCAAGTAGGCGCCGAGCAGGCGTCCTCCATGTCGACGTCGTGAGCAGCCTGCCCTCCATCTGCGTCTCGCTTGGCAGCGTCGGCCTCGACCTGGGCAGCCTGGGCTGTCTCGGCGGCCGCTGCCTTGCCGGCCCCCGCCGCTGCCTCGCCCATGGCTCGCCCCTCGCGCAGCTGCAGTCCAGCTGCGACACGCGCGGAGCTCCTGGCCTGCCTTGAAGTTGCAAAGCCAAGTGTCCAGCACGCGCGCGGACTCGGCCACCGTGCGCTGCGCTTTCGGCCCAGTAGACTGCTCGCCCGTCGCGGGTGGCTGCGCGGTGCTCCCAGGGGCGCGCGGCGCTGTTCCTCGAGCTCGAGCATCTCCATCTCGAGCTCGCTGACCTTGCCCTCTTGGTTTTCTGGCGATGCCAGTTCGCGCTCGCTCGACGCTGTCGGTGGCGCTCCAAAAGCGCGCGGCGCAGGGCTTGGCCTCCAGCGTTTCCTTCTGCAGCTTGTCTCGCCCAGTGCGCTCCGCCCCTAGCCGGGTCTGGAGGTGCTTGGCGCCGTCGGGATCTGCGGCGAGGAGCTTCTCGAAGGACTTGAGGCTTTCGTCGACTTGCCCCAGTGCCTCCTTGCGCACCGTGGCCGGGGTGCCTTTGTCCACGGTGCAGGCTTCCGTGCCGTCGCCCTCCGCTCCTGCCAGACGCCGAAGGCGAATGTTCTCTACGTGGGCCCCGTCGAGCTGCCGTTGGAACTGGCCAGCTCCCAGGGCGTCGTGCCTGGAGCCCCCCTGCCGCCTGCCTCGCGCGGCTTCGCCTGCGCCGCTGGCCCCCGTCGACCATGGCCTCGGCGCGCGCGTGGATGGCACCTCGGGGCCCGCCCTGCCGCGGAAGGACACGGCCTTTTGGAGGTGGCGCTTGACGCAGCTGGTCTTGCTGGCGTAGTTGGCCCAGCCTGGGCAGTGCTTGCGGTGCCGTGCGACAGCGCGCTCGCGCCTCGATCTCGTCGCGCATGTGCCGCGATGCGAACGAGGGGTGGCCTTCGCTGCGTTGCCTGGGGCCATGGGCGGCGGCGCCGCGGCTCTGACTGTTGAGCCCCCCCCAAGGAGGGCAGCGCACTTTGGAGCTCCCCCAAGACGGACTGCGGCCATGGAGGCCGAAAGAAACCACTTGATGACTGGCCGCGGGCTGGTGGCACCCACCCGGTTCACCTTGGAAGCGTGCATCTCGAGCCCAGGCGACTACGGGCGTGTGCGTGTGTGCGCGTGCGTGTGCGTGTGCATTCGAGTGTGCGTGCGCGTATGCGTGAACGCGTGCGCTCGCGTGTGTTTGTGCGTGTGCGTGTGCGTGTGTGCGTGTGCGTGTGCGTGTGCGCGGGCGCTGGCGTGGGTGTGGGCATGGGTGTGGGTGTGGGTGTGGGCGTGTGTGTGTGTGTGTGTGTGTGTGTGTGTGTGTGTGTGTGTGTGTGTGCGTGCGTGCGTGCGTGCGTGCGTGCGTGCGTGTGTGTGTGTGTGTGTGCGTGCGTGCGTGTGTGTGTGTGTGTGTGTGCGTGGGCATGGGTGTGGGTGCGGGTGTGCGTGTGCGCGCGCGTGCGTGTGCGTGTGCGCGTGTGCGTGTGCGTGTGCGTGCGTGTGCGTGCGTGCACGCGCGTGTGCGCGTGTGCTTGCCACCCTGCTCATCGGCTTCGTTCGCAATTTTTTTTCGTAGAAGTAAGATCAAACAGTAAAACCTGTTTTTCTTTTAGCGTTTCACTGCCTAACGCCGTCGTTGTGATTCAGTGGCCGCAATGTGCCGCTGGCTCCTTCGCTTCAGTTGACCCTGAGTTGAGCTATCTCCTCGTTTTCTGACCGCTGTACGCTTCGATTGGATCTGCAGTTCCCCCTTCGCGCCCATCGCTTGCATGTTGCGGCGCTGCTGCTTGCGCGCCGCGCCGTCAACGACCTTCGGTCACAATTCGCACTTCGGCTGCGGCTGAGGGCCCTCCTCGCCGCTGGTTGAAAAAAAACCATGTGTCTGTGTGTGTGTGTGTTTGTGTTTATGTGCGTGTGCGTGTGCGCGCGCGTGTGCGTGGGCGCGCGCGCGTGCCCGTGCGCGTGTACGTGCGAGTGCGTGCGCGTGGGCGCGTGCGCGTGTGCGTGTGCGTGCGCATGTTCGCGTGTGCGTGTGTGCCTGTGTGCGTGCGTGCGTGTGTGGCTGTGTCCGCGTGCGTGCGCGCGTGCGCGCGTGGGTGTGGGTGCGTGCGTGAGTGTGTGTGTGTGTGTGTGTGTGTGTGTGTGTGTGTGCGTGTGTGCGTGTTGTGTGTATGTGTGTGCGTGTTGTGTGTATGTGTGTGTGTGTGTGTGTGCGTGCGTGCGTGCGTGTGTGCGTGCGTGTGTGTGTGTGTGTGTGTGTGTGTGTGTGTGTGTGTGCGTGTGTGCGTTTGTGCGTGTGTCCATGTGTGCGCGTGTGTTTTGTGTGCGTGTGTGCGCGCGTGCGTGCATGCTTGTGTGCGTGTGTGCGTGTGTGCGCGAGCGGGTGCGTGTTCAGGCGCGCAGGTGCGCGGGCGTGTGGGCGCGCGGGCGCGTGGGTGCGCGGGGCGAGGGGGGCGCGGGGGCGTTGGGGCGCGGCGCGAGGGCGTAGGGGCGCGGGAACGCGGGGGCGCGCGGGCGGGGGCGGGGGGCGCGGGGGTGCGGGGGCGCGGGGGCGCGGGGCATAGGGCGTGTGGCACGGGGGGGGGGGATGCGGTGAGTGTGGGTGTGTATATATATGTGTGTGTGTGTGTTTTTGTGTATGTGTTGGTGTGTGGGTGTGGGTGTGGGTGTGCAGGTGTGTGGGTATGTGAGTGTGTGGGTGTGTCGTTGTGGGTGTGGCTGTGGGTATGGTTGTGCGTGTGCCGTGGGTGTGGGTGTGGGCGTGCGCATGAACGTGTGTGAATGTGTGTTGGTGTGTGCGTATATGTGTGAGTGTGTGCGCGTGTGTGCGTGTGCGTGTGCGAGAGCGTGTGTGTGTGTGTGTGTGTGTGTGTGTGTGTGTGTGTGTGTGGTTTTTTTTTCGCACCTCGCGCAGTGTTTCGAAAGTTCGTTCCAGCGCGCGACATCGTGGGATCTGTATCTCTAACGCTAACTCTAACTCTACCTCTAACTCTAACTCTAATTCTAACTCTAACTCTAATTCTAACTCTAACGTTCGGGATCCTCCGACAACTCGTCGAGAGTGTGTGTGTGTGTGTGTGCGCGTGTCTGTGTGTGTGTGGGTGAGAGAATGTATGTGGTCGAATGTGTGTTTGTGTGGGTGTATGGGCGTGCGTGTGTGCTTGTGTGCGTGTGTACGAATGTGCGTGTGCGCGTGTGTGCGTGTGTGCGTGTGTGTGTGTGAGGGAGAGAGAGAGAGAGAGAGAGAGAGAGAGTGAGTGCGTATGCACGCGCGCGTGTGTGTGCGTGGATGCCGGCATGCATGTGCATGTGTGTGCGGGCGGCGGGGGATGCCATGGACCGCCCATGCTGGAACCTGGTGTTTGGCAACATCTCGTTGCGCGGAAGGGATGCATGGGCTTGGTGCCAAGCATGGGCCGCACTAATGGATCGGTGCGTCGGGTGCCAGAAACCATTGTTTCGAAAGACGTGGGATTTTCAAACAATGCATGCCCTAGGCAAACTACTTGTTGCATGCGCGGTGGCGGATCATGTCTGTCAACGAAACGACGAAGTGTTGTATGACACATGTCGCCGCAACCTGGACATCGAGCACCCGACGTACACCAGTATCAGCAGGCAGCTGGCGCAGACCATCTCCTTGTTAACTGCGTTGTTGCGGTTCGACGGTGCTCCGAACGTGAATACCACCGAATTCCAAACCAACTTGTTGCCCCACCCGCGCTCTCAAGCTACGCGCCCGTGATCTCTACTGAGAAGGCGTATCGTGAACAGTTGTCTGTGACGAAAATCACAACGTCCGTCTTCGAGGCCGCGTCCATGTTCGTGAAATGCGACCTTTGTCATGGCAGGTCCATGGCATGCTTTATGATCCTGGCCAAAGGACGTACTTCAAACCTCCTCGTGGTGGCCCGGGGTAACTTGATGCTGGCAGTATATGTCGAAGGCCGTCGTTCCCCAGAGGCGGCGGGGGTCATCGAAGCCAAAGAGGTAGAGGGGGCATCCAACAGACGCATGTGTACCCTGACGGCAGTCCGTGGCAGTCGACTCAGGGAGTGCAGGTCTAGCGCCTTGACTTTCTAGTCCTTGCCGCATCGAGGAGCGCGGTCCCGGCTCCTACTGCGAAGGCTGTCATTGGGTGCATCTGATCGGCACGCCTCGCGGACATGAGCTCCGCGAGCAAGGGACGGTTTGTGAAGCGTGTCTGGCCGCCTTGGCAGTGTTCCCGAGTATTGTCACGCACGAAATCGCCTTGCGGTGGTTGGCAAAGCCCACCGCCAGGAGTGGTCATTTTGACATTTTCAGCTCTTGTTCCGCATGCTCTATGATGTATCGTGGAGACGTAGTGCCAAAGGATGTGAACGCAGCAATTGCTACTATCAAGACACAACGCACCATCCAATTCGTTGACTGGCGCCTCACGGGTCTCAAATGCGGCATCAACTACCAGCTTCCCGCAGTGGTCTTTGTTGACGACCTTGCCACGGTGATGCGTGCCTGCTGCACGATCGGCAACTCAAACGCCATCGCGGAGGTTTTGTCGCGTATCGACCACCAGTTAGACCTCGTGTTCTCGAAGCGTGCGTTCGTACACTGGTATGTGGGCGAGGGTATGCAGAAGTGTGAGTTCTCCGAGGCTCGCGAGGATCTGGCGGCACTGGAGATGGACTGCGAGGAGGTGGGCGTTGAGACGGCGGAGGGCGAGGGCGAGGAGGGGGGCGACGGTGACGATTTCTGAGCAAGCTGCTGTGAAGCAGCGGCACGAGGAACAGGCGCGCAGGAGGCGCATTCACTGGCTTGCGTTTTGCGAGCAGGTCGCCCCTCGACCACCTGCGTGCTCTCCGCGAAGGAGGTCGGCGTGGCCTCCACGCTGACGGTGTGCTATTCACACGCGCAGCCCATGCCGACCTTGATTGACCGACTTTCTGGACCGCCGCGTGTCCGTCCCGCCTTGTCATGCCGTTTGCGGAGAAGCCAGGTACCGCTCCTCGGGCCACACATGTCTTGCAGCACGGCGGCGTGAGGAGAGAGAAGAGGGGGAAGGGGATGGCCACATGGGGGAGCAGTTTTGGATTCCTGGGACGGCCGCCAGCTGCCAAGAGTTCTCGCCTTGTGCACCGTGAGTTCACGCCGTTCTTCCTGGGGCGCCGTGCTGGAAGCGGCGCGCGACAAGGAAGAACGCACGCGATCACGAGCACGACCTGCCAAGCACTGCCGCCATCTGCCGTGGTACCCACAGAGGTCTCCGGGGCCTCGCCTCCAGAGGTCTTCGCGGAGGGTTCTGGAGGCGTCCGCGGAGTCCCGATCGCACAGTCAAGCTTCGATACTCGGCCCTTGAACCTTGAGTCTCTCTTCTAGCCTGCGGCCTCCCCCCCCAGGCTCTTCGATCGTCGATGCGCGAACATCGAGCCTTGGATCCTCGATCCTCGCATTTTCTTCGAACCTCGGTCTCGAGTCTCCTTCGATCTCGAATCCACCCTCGAGTGTCGAATCTCCTTCGGTCTTCGAGTCTGCTCGCGGCAGTGCCCCCCACTTGTCAGGAGGGAGAAAACACACACAGAGACACTATTGATCGTCGATGTGGGGGATGTGTGGGGGAGGGGGAAGACGAACACCCAGGAAACATGGGGAGCCCTGGGATCTGTGCCGGTTCAGTGGTGTGCCCCTGGGCCCCCTTCGCCCCCCCCCCCCCCGAGGCGCCGTCCGCGCCCGCGGCGGAGGCCGCGCCCGCGAGGGCGCCCCGGCGGCGGAAGCCGCGGCCTCCCGCGGAGGTGCCCGGCGCCGCCGACGGCGACGCCGGCGAGGCCCCGGGTGGGAGGAGCCTTTGCGGATCGGGCCGGGCGGGCGTCGGAGGGGTCGGCCGGTCGTTGGAAGTTGGTATGTTTTCGGGAGCCTCTGGGAACAAACACACAGACTGTGGGAACAAAAACACACAGACTGTGTCTTTTTTTGCCACAGACTGTGTTTCTTTTTTCCCACTGTGTGTTTTTTTCTCACAGACGGGGGTCAACGCAAACAGGGGTCAGCCAGGGCGCCGGATCCTGCAGGATCCTGCGGAGGCCCCCTCTGGCTGACCCGGGTCAGCGAGCCGCTCGTGGCCGCGAGGGCGGCCGCGCGTATGGGCCGACCCGGATGTGCGAGGACCTGCGTTGCAGTTTTTTTTGTCCTGCATTTCAGCTCTTGGTTTCCTGCTGACCCGGGTCTGGATTGACACGGGTCAGAAGATCCCCGATTTTTGGATGCCCGGCTCCCAATCTACTTCATTTCAAGCGCCTTCCTACTTCAAGAATCGATAGGCTGTTGCTGTGTTTTCTTACTCCCTGGGAGGGCCTGAACTTAATCTGCTTTGTCCGCCTTGTTACTTCATGGTTCTACTTACCTCTTCCGACCGGCGTGCACAGTCAAACCGCATGGTAAGGATGGGCAGCCTTCCCAAGGCTACCCTTTCATTCTTGCCTCCTCGGTCCGTCCTTGGCCACTTTCGTTGGCCGCGCCCCGCTCGAAATGGGCGTCCAAGGCCCTTGCATCCTTATCGCGCATCCTGATGAGTCGGGCCGACCAGGGCTCGTTTCGATTCCTCCGATTCGATTCGATTTGATTTCGATGGCTTCCGATTCCCATTCGATTCGACTTCGGATTCCGATTTGGACTCCGATTCCTCATTGGATGCATATTTGCCTGCCGATTTCCGCCGATCCGATTCATTTCGATCGCCGATCTGACTTGTCGATTTGATTCTGGGCTTTCCTGGCCGATTGTACAAAGGGTATGGTTGTGCCGGGGTGTTGCGTGCGATCGGCACCGTTGGGGCCCTGGGAGCACGATGCGCTGTCCTCGTCGGGTCTCCACACCGAGGCGCAGAGGCGTCGGAAGCTCGAGTATCGAGATGCTCGGGGCCTCTGGGCGTCTGTGGGGCTTCTTGGGGCCTCCCGTGGTGCTCGCGGCGCCACGGCTGGCTGCCGCTCGAGTTCTGGCCAGAGCGCGACCCTGCGCGGAGGCGCGCCGCGGGTCGTCGGGAGCCTTGCGACGGGGTCCCGTGCAAGCGGGGGTCATTCAGAGCGCCGAAGCCCGGCAGGATCCTGCAGAGCCAGGGGTGCACTGGCCCAGATCAGCGCGCAGGATCCTGCAGGATCCTGCCGATGGTCAGGGCGTCGGATCGGGTCGGGCGAGCGTTAGAGTGGGACGGGATACCGTGTCTCGACGCTTCGCGTATACCCACCAGCCCAGCCAAGAACAGTCAGTCGACCGGCGAGTTGCTTCGATGAAGGTCTGGAGTTCTTCGGGAACTTCGGAGGGGTGGAGGGGGGTCTGGAGGGGGTTTGGGGGGGAGGGAGGTGAGTGTGGACGGGGGGTGGGGGGGTGGCACAGTGGGGGTAGAGGGTCCAACGCCTCCCGAGCCCCCTCGAGACCCAGGGGGAGGAGTAGGGGGAATCCCTTCCCCGAAGGGGAAGAATGGGGGGCAAGCTGAACGAGCCATTTCGGGTCGGGCGAGCTCCAGAGGGGGAAGAGACGGTAGATTCGCGTCGTGTCGACGTGGCGTCGACCCACCCGCGGGCGTTCGAGGTCGAACGCTGCCGGTGGCTCAGAATCGGCGGGCGATCGAAAAGCCACCCATCGCTCAAGTTTGATGAGCGAATCACGCCGTGTCAGAAACCAGCGCGCTGTTCGCCACGACACGAACCCACCGTGCCGCTTTTCCCAAGGGAGACATGGGACTGGCTGGGGAGGTTTCAGAGACTGGGGGAACATGCACCACCAAGTTTCTCAGATCTCGATTTCTTACCGCTTCCCCCCCGTTTAGCCTGCGCGTCACCTCAAGAGAGAGGAAATGCGTGCTGCCCCCTCCTCCCCCCCCTTCCTCCCTCTTCTCCCCCCCCCGCGCTCTCCCCCGCTCCCGATGCCCCGCGGCGGCGGCGGTGTCGGCTTCGACGACGACGACGACGACGACGACGGCGGCGGCGGCGGCGGCGAGGCTGCGGGGCGCACTGGTGCGGCGGCGGCTGCGTCGGGGGGGGAAATGCAGACTCCCCGCCCGCGGCGCCGCCCCCGCCGGGCCAGCCCTCAGCCCCCCGCCGGCATTCCCTGGCCTCCCCCCCGCGGTCGCGACCACGGGCGGCGGCGACGACGGCGGCGGCGACGGCGCCGACCGGCCGCTGCCGTCGCCGACGGCGACGGCGACGACGACGGCGGTCACGGCGGCGACGGCGACCATCGCGGCGACGGCGAAGAATTCGGCGGCGGCGACGGTGGCGACGGCGACCATCGCGGTGACGGCGACGACGACGTCGGCGACGACGGCGGCGACGACGGCAGCGACCACGGCGCACGACGAGCCCGCGAGCGACGACCGAAGCCCATGGCAGGCCGCGCCGGCGGCGGCCGCGGCGCCCGAGGAGGGCGCGGCGCCTGAGGAGGATCGCCGCGGCGTGGTGCACCTCGCGAGCCTGCCGGTGCCGCCGCGCCCGTGTTTATTTGGATCGCCGCGGGGTTTGTTTAGGGGGGAATGGGGGCTCAGAGCTGGATGCTACTGTGGGTCACACCCGGCCTGACCTAGCTTAGGAGACGAGTGCCCTGAGTGGTCTAGGGTGATCAGATAGCACCGATATAAGTGGGCTCCGCCCACTTGGCCCAGATGCGTACGCCCTTGAACCGTTTAGGGCATTTCCACGCTTCGCCGGCGATATCCTTCTACTTGCCGGATCTCCCGTCCACCTCAAATATTTGTTCTTTGACTTGATTTTTGAGGCGGGCAAGGCGAGTTTGAAACAACACCCTTACAACATACAGCTCAGCACAACGGCAGCCGACCACCCCGCGGCAAACATGCACCCGACAGTATGAATGTACACGGCATGAACGTCGAGGTTATGCCGCCCTACCGCCCCACGAAATACTTCGGACGACAAGTTCAGCACTACACGACCCACGCAATCTAGATAGAACATCGTATCGTCACAGCGTGGAGGAAGTTCCGCGCGTTGGTTGCATCAGGCTATTTACAGACAGACTGGCGTCGCCTCTTAAACGGGACCATCGCGCCGACTATCCTCTACGGTTGAAGCCTGGACACTAAAGGCCGAATTAGAGAATCGATTCCGGCGCACACAACGGCAGATGCTCCGCATGCTAATCCACGTGCCCATGCGCACCAGCACAATCAGCACTCAGCTGGCATCACAAGCAGCTGAGGCCTTCGCCAGCACCGACGAGCGACATGATCCCCGCCAGCACTGACGACGACGACGACTACGGACGTGACGCTGACAGTACGCCAGATCCTACGTCATGTGTTCGCGATGCCGAAGCCGCGGTTGAAGATTTGTAACCGTGGTTCGACTGGGTAAAACGAGCCACTCGCAAGGCAGAGGTGGCAATGGAGCGGCTGCAAAGCACATGATGAGTTTCGAATGTGCGATCGCGACATCGGAAATGGCGCAAGTACAGAACTTGGCCAACACCTGCGAGCACGAGTGGACGCGAGAGGTTGACTTCGAAACACGACCCCTTCTACAAAGCGAAACGCAGGGACCCAAATCCAGATGGATTGACGACGTCTGACAGTACATTCGAGTTACGATGGGATGGGCTGACATGGGTATTTCACATGTATTGTGTTTTGTATCGGCAGATACGTGCGTCAATTTGGCACCAGTCTTTGCGGCATACGCCAGATGAGCGGGCCAAGCTCCTGGCGCTCCAGCGCCGCGCTGGCAGCATTTTAGACAGACCCCCGCCACCGCCGCCAGCTGAAGACATCCACCTATCGGATTCGGGCTTCACCTGACCAGCCTCCAGTTTCCGGCTTCCGACTCCCAACGCTCGCCATCAGCTATCGCCACCCAGTTGTCCACCTCCAGTTTTCGACCTCCAATTTTCGACCCCCAGCCTCGCATGACCGACCTCCAGCTTCGAGCCTCCGATTCCCACCATCCACCATTAGCTGTCGACTCAAAATCATCCACTCCGAGCGCTCGCCCTCCACCTATGGACTTCCCATCTCACCTGACCGACCTCTAGCTTCCAACTTCCGACTCTCACCATCCAGCTGACGACATCTAATTTTTTGCACCTCTAGTTTTCGACCCTTGCCTAACGACCTTCCGTCTCCAGCTTCCGACTCCCAGCATTAACCACCAGTTATTGCCATCCAGTCTTCCACCTTCAGCCTTCGACCTCCACCTGCCGACCTTTAGCCTCCAGGGAAAGTTCTTCAGCCTCAAGGCCAAGATATATCAGAATTTGCCACAAAGAGCTTTGGAACAAGGTCGAGCAGGATTTTCGATCGGGCCTCATTTTCTGGCGCTCCAGAGCCGCACCCGCAGCACCCTAGACGGTGCCCATTTGCGGGCGTCTTGATAAGCTAGGTGAGGCCAGATAGACCCCACCTTACAGTCGGGGCCCTGAAGAAGGAACCCTTTCCGTTGGGGAGGGGCTCCGCGTTCCTTAAGTGTTTCACAGCTTGCCTCAGGCTTTCCTTATGTTTTCGACCGGAAATCGAAGGTTAACTTATGGGACAAAGGAGCCTCGTTCCTCATTTAATCGCTTCGCTCATTCCGCCGGCCCATATTGTCGCACCGTTGTGGGCTAGCCGAGTTTTGGGGCCTCTTGGGGGCCGTTTTGGGGCCTCTTGGGGCCTCTTTTGGGCCTCTTGGGCGCCTCTTGGGGCGTCTTGGGGGCCTCTTGGGGGCCTCTTGGGGCCTTTTTGGGGCCTCCTGGGCGCCTTCTGGGGCGGAGGGCTCGATTTTTCAGTTCTCGGTTCCCCTCTTGAGCCCCTCTTGGGCCCGTCTTGGGGCCTCTTGGTCCGTCTTGGG